ACGCATGCATGCATGCATGCATGCATGCCACCATATGCATACATGCATGCCCCCAAATGCACGCACGCATGCGTGCATGCATGCGTGTTTAATTTTGGGGGAGATCATGCTTCTCTGTGGGGCTGCTCCTGCGTCCTCTAAATCCCCGCACCAACAGCAGCAGCAGCTGCTGCTGCTGCTGCTGCAGCATGCTGCATTTGAGGACTGCCCCTTAGAGGCCCCCGTGGGGGCCCCCGGGGGCCCCTGGGGGTCTTCGCAGTGGGAGTGTCCCTGACATTACTTCATTTGTTCTTTGGTGTTTGTACTTCAGAAGTTTTTGGAGTTATTTGGATTTAATTTTAATTTAAATTTAATGATTTTGGATTCGACTTTGTTCTGGCAACTGCGGTGTACGTACACCCGAGGAATCCTTGGGGCTGGACCAAAAGGCTTTTCTACTTTTGCTGCTCCGCTGCAGTGCGCCAAACCCTAAGCCCTAAACCCTAAACCCTCGCGAGTATCCGGAAAAGCGAAATAAATAGAATTAAATTGCAAAGTCGATTAAATAGAACACTGGAGTCGAATCCGCTGCAGTGCGCCAAACCCTAAACCCTAAACCCTAAACCCTAAAAAAGGGCGAAATGAACGGAATTAAATTGCAAACTCAATTAGATAGAACACTGGAGTCGAAAGACAACAAAGAGTTTGCCAAAGCGCCGGAAACCCTGAAATGGAGAGTGAGGGTTTTGAGGTTTGCTGGGCGGCGCTTTGGGGGTTTGAACAAATAAAGGAAAGAAAAAGAAATAAAAAGGAAAAGAAACCACTGGGAACTTGGAAGTGGAAACGGGCGGAACACGCGGTGTACGTACACCCCGGAGCCGCGGCGAGCTGGGGTGTACGCGCAGCTGAGGTGTACGTACACCTCAGAGAAACCGGTGCAGGTTTCCCCGCGCCCTCCGGACATAAGTCACTCTTCTTTTTTTTCTGTTTTCCTGCGTGGAGGCAGTAGTTTCAATATCCGTGAGTCCCGCCTCCGTGAGCCTGGCGGCGGAGGCGCTGCTGCTGCTGCTGCCGTCTGCTGCAGCAGCAGCAGCAGCAGCAGCAGCAGCGCGGGGCTTGCCCTCCTCCTCAAACGGCAGCTGCGGGATCGCCTCGAACTCCGTCTCCGTCTCCAAAGCTATTTGTTCTTCTTTGCACCATCTGGCCACTCTGCGGACTAATCTGCTTCTCGGTGCTGCAGCAGCAGCAGCACGAAGCCAGTACCTGTTTGCTGCTGCTCGCAGCGCCATCACGCCAGCCACAGTTGCGATCATCGTTATCTGCTTCCCGTGCCCTGCTGCAGCGCTTGCTGCTGCTGCTGCTGCTGCTGCGGGCGCGGCTGCTGCTGCGGGCGCGGCTGCTGCTGCGCCGCCGAACGGCGCCGCTGCTGCTGCCCCCGGGACCAAGGGAGCAGCAGCAGCAGCAGCGGGAACAGCAGCAGCGCCGGGCACAGCAGCAGCAGCAGGAACTGCAGCAGCAGCAGGAACTGCAGCAGCAGACGCTGGCAACGCCGCCGCTGCCGTCATCGGCGCTCCGGCTGCAACAGCAGCGCCCGGCACGCCACCTGCTGCAGGGGCCCCTGCTGCTGCTGCTGTTGCTGCTGCTGCTGCTGCTGGCGGCCCGTGCAGCAGCCCGTGGCTTGCTGCTGCTGCGCCGCCGCCAACTTTAGTAAAGGCGCCGCTTTTTGCTGCACTCGAAACTCCCTTAGTGAGCATTGCGAGGCCCAAGACTTTGCCTCCTGCTGCTGCTGCTCCCCCCCCCACAGTTGCTGCTGCTGCTGCACTCCCTGTTGCTGTTGCCGCTGGCCCGTAAGAAGTCAAGAAAACCCCCCCTGTCTTCAGCAGCACAGGGGCAAAGGCCAGCGAGGTCAGCAGCGGCATTGCTGCTGCTGCTGCTGCTGCTGCTGCAGCAGATCCGGCCTCCTAGGCGCCCAGAACACGCCCCCACGATCTCGCCGCAGGGGAGGAAGCCGCAGCAGCTGGCATTCCTAAGCCGCCAATAAAGAAGCAAACTAAGCAGCAGCAGCAGCAGCAGCAGCAGCAGCAGCAGCAGGTTAACCACTCAGCAGCGTCGGGGAGGGCTGGCGCGGGTTCTAGCGGCGGCGGCGGCTGCGCAAGTCCAGGGTGTGTTTAGAGAGGCAGCATTTGGCTGCTGCTGCTGCTGCTGTTGCTGCTGCTGCTGTTGCTGCTAATGCTAAATAAAACGAACGGCCGCGCGGCGCGGAGAGCCGCAGCCAGCCACGGGAGGCTGTGAAGAAGAGCCCCACCAGCGGCTGCAGGGCTCTAGACAGGCATCCCTGTTGTTCTGGGTTTGCAGAAAGTGGAAAAAAAGAGAAAATAATTAAATTTTAAATCCAAATTGTTCAAATTTCATTCGAAAATGCAGCAGATCTGGTTCGCTGGTGCTGCTGCTGCTGCTGCCTCTGCCTCCGAAAGCCGCAGTGAGCACCGCAGCAGCGGCTGCAACGGGACCCCCAACGGAAAAAACAAAAGATCTTCGTGTTGCAAATTGAACAAATAATGAATTAAATCATTTAATTCTTTTGATCGCTTCAAAAAGTCCCATGTTCCCGTTCCGCGCAGCTGTACTTGCGGTGTACAGACAGCGGTGACCGCCAGAGTTCTGCAGTCGCCCAGCTGCTCTTTTGCAGACCTCAGGAAATACTTTATTCTCATTTTAAATTATTTATTTCTTTTTTAAAACTTTTCCTTTCCCAAAACAATTCCATTTCTGAATAGACT